AATTATTATTACAATTTGGCCAAGTAAAAGCATAATGTCCACTTATTCGCAAATATCATCTAAACCATACTTTATGAACATCTTGTAGGGTCCACTTGCCGAAACACTCGGTGACTTCTGGAGGCTCGTGTGGGAGCAGAGGACGGCAGTGATCGTCATGATGACGCGAGTTATTGAAAGGGAACGACCAAAGTGTGAACAATACTGGCCGTCCAGAGGGACAGTCACCTATTCCGGCATAGCCGTGACGCATCTTGAGACGACAGAATTGGCACATTATGTGATTCGAGTATTTGAACTTCAAAAAGCCGGGTAATCCTACCGCATTTATTGCTTCATTTTATCCTCAAAAATGTGTAAAATGCCCATTTTTGCCGTTTCAACTAGACAAGACAAATACACACGTTGCCAAGCTGGAAACAGCTCAACATTCATTCGCTTTACAGGCACACAATTGTCCTCTTCATTGCATCCATTCCCCATTCATCTCCACAAACAAGCTTTGATAAAGTCGTGTTTAAATTACCAAACTTCTGAATAACATACTTTTCAGATCGCCAGAACTTAGGGAGGTGAGACAATTGCAGTTCACCAGCTGGCCCGATCATGGTGTGCCCACACATCCCACAACCTTGTTGATGTTTCTCAGACGTGTGAATGCTGTGAATCCACCAGAGGCTGGCCCCATCATTGTCCATTGCTCCGCCGGTGTCGGCCGAACAGGTATGCATCGTGCGTCACATTGATGCTACAACATATTATAAAATTACTTTTTAGCTTTAATGTATGCTAAAATAATTATGAAAATGATACTACATGACAATTAGAACAATTTGGTATGGTATCAATTGTTTAAAATCCCTTAAAAAACGTGAAAATCTTTTCAAAATCTGTATTTTTTCGACAAGCCTAATTTTGTGCTTGCTGTGAATAGTAAAAAGCCAATAATTGTATTATTCCTTATTATATATGGTTGTGTTTAGTTTATTAGTAATTATTATTTTATCTTATTTTGTACTATGATAAATTGGAAAATAATTTAAAAATACTGTGTTTAGGAGGTAAAGCGATTAAAAATTAAAAATAATTAAATAATTATAATAGTTTGTTACTTTGTTTTACGGCTTCTGAACGTTTTTAAGAAGTTGGACTAGTTTGACCCCTTCTTCCCATCGTTCATATAAACAGCCATACAGCATGTAAATAAACAGAGGACCAGTAGAAGCAGCGTCCGTAGGCTAACCTGAATCTAAGATTAATATCTGACTTGAATAAGAAGGTTTGTTGTTTCCCACATACGTTCGGGTACTCATAGTTCCCTCTTTCTCACGGCGCTCCCCAGAATGATCTTTTAAAAACGCATTTCAATTGTCACCGCATGCTTGAGTCTGCGGGAGAAAGTGGCTATCGGCAGGCAGGAAAGATGTGATTTACGCTTATTTGCGGAAGCTGGTGAGCAAAAAATGCATCTTAATGCAAATGCTCTCTCTATAAATGGTCAAGCGCATAGAATATATTTAGCCGACCTTAAATACTAAAGGATTATGACTTGCTGTATGCATATTTTTATTGAAGATAAATTGATTTTTTCTTGAGCTACTTATTCCATTCATAGTAGTATGATGTGTTCTGATAAAAAATAGAAGTTTGACAAGTCGAAATTATCCTACTGTGGAATGATGATAAAAAAACTTGGTTTCAAAGGATTCCATATTGATATGGTATGACGTGAGTCACCATTTAGAAGAGAAATTTGTTTGTAAGGAGTTCGTGAGATGGAATGCTGTGTTTTTTGAGCAGGTAATTGACTCACCGCCTTACGACCCCGATAAACCGAGGCTAGGCCGTCATCTGTACTGTGATAGACATTGTTGGAGTAAGAATCCATACTTTGCGAAATGGAGCAAAAACATACTAAATGAAGAAGCTTAGCACAGGTTCAACGGTGAGTCAATGACTTCTTCGCACTATTCAACCTTCTTCACTCCGCAGCAATTCTCTCCGGTTTCCGGTGAGACCATTTCACCAATTCATTCCAACAACTTTTCCTTTGAACTGAAAAGTCATGTCACAATTGCGCAAAAAGGAACTGAACCAAAAGAAAAGGTTCAGTATATTTGATGTATTTTTGTCTATTTCGTAAAGTGTGGATTATTGTTCTCAGGAGGATAAGCGTTTCAGCCCATCTCGATTGACGTAAATATTAAAAGACAGTAAAAGAAATGTATTTCCCATAAAAATGTACATCCCGATAGCCTACACGTGACTTAAATGTAGTTATGTTTCTGAGTGTAATCGGAGTTCAGACCAAGTCGAGGCTGCTGATGAGACTGGGGCAAGGATGAGACTACTCTTCATTTTGTCTATGTAAGCCTAAATTCTTGTAGA